CCTTTCAACTTCTCCATATTCATTAAATTGAAGAATGTGCTAATCTTGTGGCAAACCTATGGACCTACATCTATAGAAAGATTGTTAGTTTAAAAATAAACTGATCTGTGTCGATCTCTTCGGTTGTCTACTCCTTGCCTTGCTCTCTCCGGTTGATTTCTCTGATTTCCCACTTCTTGATAGATAAGACAAGACATTTTTATGCAAAATAATTGAAGCATGAAAGAAGGTTTTAAGGAAATAATTTCCAAAATGTAATATTAGGAAAAGGTCACTGTCAAGTGTCATGTCATGCAAGCTTAATGAACGTCATTTGGAGGTGATGTCTCGAGATCTATCTGATTACTCGTTGGGAAATATTCAAAGTTGCTCTAAATTGCCGATAAACCCTGTTGAAATTTTGAGGTCATCCTCAAAATTTCTGTCCCAGTGAACTGTCTTGGCTTATCTTTAACCGTTGGTGAGCAAGTTACGCTATTTTTGAGATCTTATAAAAAAATATATCCCGATTGCAAATCCTGAATAACTTCAGTCCTCACTTTGTTGGAGAGATCTTCTTCTTGAGAATTTTTGAGTGGGACTCAAAAATTCTATCCCAGTTTCTATAGAAATTTTTCGGGAGATATGACTAAGCCCTTGTGGCGCCTACGTATCCCGTTGAGGCAGGAATCAGGTCAAACATAGTTCCCCCTCAAAGATTAACAAAAATGTGAAATTTACGAAAAAATCGACCGAAACCGACATAGGCCGCCTACGTATCTCATTCTTAAAAAAACTCAAGTCGAACGTAATTCAAAATACAAAACGAATAAGTTCTGAACATAAATTATTACAAGCAAATAGAAACGATTACACGGAACAAATATAAATTGGGTCTTCCAACATGGTATCTTTTGACAACATTTAAGTGGATTGAGGACTTGTGAGATCCAATGTTCATGCTCAACCATGCAATGTCGTTATCAACAAATGTATCGATGTGTTCTTTAAGCAAACTGATGAGTTCTCTTTCCTGTGCTTTGGTCAGATATGCACCAATTTTGATTTCTTTGATGCATTCATCATTTTCCTGATTCACTATTCCGATCTCTTCCGAATTCGGCTCATCGTGACTCTTAAACTGTCTGAATTCCTCAATCAGGTGCTATTGGTACCATGATCTTTTTATTGTTGTCCTCAAATTCGTCTACATCTACCCCATTTTGTTCATTCAACTTGTGACATGATATGATATTGACAGATTTGAAAATATTTTCACTGAAATTATAGACAGATACTGTCAGAGCAAATATAAAGCAAGTAAAACAAATTTTCGCAATAAAGGAGTTCTTCATTTGAAATAAGAAAATAAGAACTCTGGCCATCACAATAAATCATTTTTCTTTTTTTTTCTTTTTTTTCTTCAAAATATTAGGAGGGAGATTAAAACATATTGAGGCAAAAATAGAGTAAAGGATTGGTCTCGAGTCTCATTCGGAACGCCACCAATTTAGAAACAACATAAAAAATTGTCTATTTCTACCAAGACGAGCGAGGAATCAAGTGCGGAGTGGATGTCCAGTTAGGCATTTGCTCCTTTGGCTCGTTGTCTAGTATGACTGGCGTCTCAATCATCTCTTCAAGCACAATATCACCTTCTTTGACCAAATTTTTGATCCCTTCCCCTAGACCATTTTGCATTGGAAAAGACTTATATGAGCGAGACAATGATTTTGAAAAAGTTTGATCGATCTTCTGTTTGTTCTGACCCTCCTTTGGCATTAAAGCAAAAGCTTAATGAGGTGCCATGATCTTCAATACAGATTTCTCTCCGTTGGTTGGAGAGGCTACAACTTTCTCAAGTTTTCAAGGTTGGCTGAGATTATAACATTCTCCACATTCAAATCTTCTTCAACTTCAATCATATTAATTGTCACCCTTCCATGATTCGGCATTGGGTTACAATAGACATTAGGAGTGGACGTCCGAAGAGTGATGACCTTTTGATCTATCAAGTTTTGAATTTTATGCTTCAAGTCGATACAATCTTCAGTATTATGCCCAGCACTTCCTGAATGGTAAGCACAATGAAGATCAGGTCCATAAAACTTGGAGTTGACATTGATGTTTTTTGGATAAATTGTCTGTATCAGGCCAGCTGATTTTAATCTCTCGAAAAGTTGTGTTCGACTTTCAATCAAAGGGGTGAAGACTCTAGAAGGTTTCTTCTCAAGATTTAGGCAAGTAAGATTGTAATTATTTTGTGGAGGTACTTGACAGTAATTTAGAGGATTTTGGTGAGGTGATGCTAGCATCTGAAAATTTAGGTATTGTGGAGCTCTGTGGCTAGGAGGGTGTGGAGTTTGGCAACTTGATTGGATATTTGAACAATTAAATGATGGAGCTTGATATTATAGATGGGTATTTTTATAATGTGGTGGTGGAGTTTGGTAAACAAGAGGTGAAATTTGGTAATTCGGTGGTGGGGTTTGGTAATTAGGAGGTGGGATATGGTAACTCGGTGGTGGAGCTTGATAACTTGATTGGGTATGACAAACTGGATATGAATTTTATGGAGCTTGAGGACAACCTTTGTAAGGTGAGGATTTTCTGAAGTGTCATTTCCATCAGATGCGTAGGAAATAGAAAACACATCCTCTTTCTTCTTTTTCAACAATCCTGAAGATTCAATTGGGGCGGCAACACGAGAAATTTTTCCGATTTTAAGCCCATCTTCGAAAGTCTCACCTATCTTGACTATCTCCGCAAATTTTGCTCCAATGAGCAACATTATCCTGTCATAATACTCTGGCTCTTGAATGCGTATGAACATTTCAACAATCTCCTTCTCCAACATAGAGGGTCAAACACGGGCGGCCTCTTTCCTCCACCCATACGCATATTCACGATAGCTTTAAGTGGATTTTCGTTTAATTCTCTCCAAAGAATAGCGATCAGGAATAATCTCCACATTGTAAGCGAACCGTTCGACAAAATCCTTAGCTAGTGCGTTCCAGTTAGACCATTGGTTTATCTCATGAGAGGTAAACCATTCCAACACTTCTCCACTTAAACTTCGGCTAAAGAGACGCATTAACAAGGCTTCATTCCTTCCAACTCCCACGAGTTGGTCAGAGTAGGCTCTTAGGTGCGCCAATGGACTTCCTATTCCTCCGAAAGTGTTAAATTTTGGCACTTTAAACCCTTCTGGGAGGTCCAGATTCGGATGGATGCACAGATCCTCATAACTCAACCCATCGATTTCAGGAATATAACGCAACTCCTTCATGGCTTTCCTGATCTCTTTTTTCATTTTCATCTTGGCTGCCTCTTCCTTTGACCTCCACTCTCTCTTCTGGTCCTCATAGTGATCAAGCTCGGAACAGTTGGCATAGGGTTCACTTTGAATTGGAATTTGAAAAATAGTCTTTTCAGGCAATGGTGGAGCAATGGAGGGACTCTCGATATTTTGAGTGGCTTGGTGATTTCGGGGGAAAATCTGGGGGTTGGCATGTTGATTTTGGTGGTGGGGAAGGTTTGCGGATTATTGAAATTTAGAGGGGGAGGGCAAGCTTACGGGTTTGCATTTCGAGGAGGAAGTGGCGCTTGGAGGTTGGTATCTTGAGGAGGAGGTGGCACTTGGTAAGAGACGGAGGCATGATGGAGATTTGGAGCGGTTAGGTCGATGATTGGGGGATTTTGAGCGGGGTTAGATAGTGGATTTTGAACCTGTTCCGCGCTTGGAGGAGGAAAGTGGAGTGGAGGTCTTCCATCTCCTAGAGGGTTGACCGAAAAAATTGGATTCGGTAGATCTTGTCTTCTTTGCATAATTAATTCATTTTGATCAGCGACAGTGGGCTGAGCCACAACAACATCAGTTAAGCCAATCTCTTCATTGTTATCACCCATTACTGCCTTTCCTTTTTGCGAATTTTGATCGGGGAAGGAATATTTGGGAGCCTTAGATCTTGTAAAATAAGGGTGTTCAGCCAGCTTATCAACACAGATCAGTTCTAAATACCTGACAAAGAAAAATAACTCAAAAGATAAACGTGTTAGTCTATGTAGATGATAAATAATATAAAATATCACACATATGACCACAAACACATAGCTCTACTTGAAGATAAACTAGCCCATGCATTTAGAGAAATGACTAAATAGACAGGAATTTGTGTATTTGATTTTGAACTTAGTGGATCAGAAATGTCAACTTGAGTCGAGACAAAGTTGATTGTATCTTTTATTGTCATATTTTCGATTTTCGATTGATGAAACTCTATTCTCCTTGCAAGAGTTGGAAAAAGATTAAATTTCTCAAAATGGGGACCGAGCCTTGAAAGGCTGCCTACGTATCTCCGAGAGAGAATTCAGGTCCTACGTAGTTCGACCTTTGAATCTCTTTTGATTTGAGAGGGTGAATCTTTTTCTGGTATGAGAGAGTAGGATTTTAAAAAAAAATGAAATTTGAATTTATTGGGAAACTAAAGACTTGAAATCTGCCTTTTTGTTTTCTTCGAAACGACAGTGGCTCCATACGGGGGATTGTTGGGTTCTTATGGGTGCATTAACTAGAAATTGGTTGGAATTGAAAGTAATTGTAAGCGAGGGAGGAAAAGGAAAAGCAAATTTTTTTGTGCGTTTGTGCATCATCACGGAATATATATTCTCCGTCTCAATTTATGCTTTTCATTTTGATTTGCCTCAATTTTAATTTTGATATCACAAATTTAAAATTATGAGGTTTATAATATTACATATAGTTTTAATTAATATTATAAATTTTTTAAAATTTCCTATTTATTTTTTAAAATTTTATATTCACATAAACTAAAACACATAAATGAAGATTGAGAGAAATACTTTTGTAAATAGAGACTTCAACATGCAAATCAATGATAAGATCGAGTTATCCTAATTTTTTTCAGATTGTTATCGCTTATCGTAATAATTATTATTTTATAAATCATCTTTTCTTCTTTGATTTTAACTTTTAGTTAATAAAAAAATCTTTTATAATATTAATAGAGTGATTTATAATGTTTGTCGTATGGAGTAATAATTATTTTTTTTTGTACTATGTGGATAAAGTTGTAAGGTATTTTCATATAGTATGTGTAAAACAGACGATTTGGATTTTAATTCTGGGTCCCCAACGTACATTATTCATGAAGCCTGATGCTGCCAAAATTTCCTCATCTTGACTTTTATGGATAAATTGATGTTTTAACTACTACTACACTTGACTATTTTAGTTTCGTAAATACTTTTCCACTAATATAAATATCAAATTAAAATCCTTATGATTTTTATCCACTTTATCGATCGTTACCTTACATTACACCATTACATGCATATTTTTGCCCTTCTTTGTTTGTTTCTAATACGTCATTGTACACATTAATTTTAATTTCTTATTTTTAACATATACTTATATATATAGTTTATTTGTGTATATCAAATGTATAGAAATTGGAAAAGGTGCATGATTTATACCCTCCTCTCTACTCAAATATGGTTGAGATATTAAAGAAAGAGATATTTCAATCAGGCAAAGGAACCTGTTGCAAAGCTTTTCTTTGGCTCACCAGGTAAATTAACACTTTGCATATTTTCACTTTCTTTATACATTTTTTGCTTTGGGGAGGACCCATTCGAGGTAGCGTTTTCTATCAAAAATTATTTCATATTTAGGGCTCGAATATGAAACCTCTGATTAAGGAAGGAACAACCTCATCCACTACACCACATCTTTCGGTGGTCACTTTCTTTCTATTCACCAGACACCAAGTATTTAGAGAAGGTTCTTGTAATTAAGGAGAACTAATAAAATTTAATCAAAATATTATAGACACAAAACATAAATGGATGTAGAAAATTAGTAAAAACAACTTATAAAGTGTTATGTTTTGAACCTATAAATCCTAGATAATGAAATCAGTTGTACGTATACAAGCTTAAAGATAATTTGAACTCATCAAATTTAAAATTCTCGATCTGTCTCTCTGATTTATATTTACGTGAATGTATGTATTTCTGCAAATTAGGATGGAATACTAGTGTTAGTTCATGTAGATCATAGTGTCTCAAGGGTAATAATGCTTTCCTTCATGATGTTTTCACTTGATCCACAGAATTATGAGTTTACTTTAAAGAGTTTAAATAATATGCACTGACAGTGTATATAACTTTTACTTCATCATATCATCATTACTTGTTATGATAAGTAACATGTTTTATTTTAGATATCCTTTGAATGACTCGATAATATAAGAAATTGTTTTTATTGACGATGTAAAAATTGGTTTGAATTGAAGTTAGTAGTTTAGAATATTGGATATATACTTCAGATCCTTGGATTTCACCTTAGCATTGTTACAACTACTGGCTGATGATTTAGAGAGGAACATGGAGCAAGCTGTTCAAGAATCTTACACTAACACCCTTAAGCCCTGGCATGGATGGATCTCTTCAGCTGTCTTCAAGGTCATTTTCTTTTCTTTTTTTTATATTCAATTTTTACTATTCACATGAATAAGGAGTATAGGGAATGTCACGGATACGTGTATAGTTCGGCCAACTAGTTTATCAATATGGTTAAAATATACATTGATAGTGTATACATTGTGAATGGATGTGTATATTTAGTATAAATATACACAATATATACATACTGTACATATTTTATAAACTAGTTGGCCGAACTGTTTAGGATCATAATTATCCCAAAAATATACACTACTTATGTATAATATATATATATATATATATATATATATATATATACACACACACATTAGTATACACAAAAAAAAATCCGGCTATTATTTTGATGGGCCGCTATATAGTGTAAAAATATGTTATTAAGTTATTTTATCTGAAAATTAAACAATTATTCTGCAGGTAGTACTAAAGCTAGTGCCAGATAGCAAGGGGTTAATCACAATTCTGAAGGGAAAAGATAAAAATAACGATGATTTTAAGAAGGAATTGCGAACCTTCATTTCACTATTGGCACCTTTGTTAGAAGAAATTCATGAAGTTTTGGTAAGATTGATCTCAATATAATTTATTTTATAATTATATTTAACTCTACACTAATTAATGATCCAATAACAATTATTTTCTTCTTAATTTCTGATAATTGTTTATTTAACCTTTATTTTGTAGGCTGTATATGGTATTGATATCTTCAAATCTGCTTGAAGATGAAAGTGCATGCATGTCCAAGAAAATGTGACAAGCTAGTTGTAAATATAACTTTTTTTAAAAGTTTTCTAACCATTATCCTTTTTTTTTGCTTGTTATGTAAAATATACATCCCAAATTCAGTTATGTGAACGTACACTTCATTTGGTACATATCTATGTGTACCTTTTATTCTAATTCGCGATTTTAAGATTAGATTGTGTGGTTTGATGTAAACACTAGGTGCATGTAAGTAATGCATCCGGTGTTTGCATCAAACGATTTAATATAAGACATGTGTCTTGCATATATAAACTTTTTTACTGCTTAATTATAGATAAAAATTGATGCAACTATTTGTCCTTATGAACCTTAATTAATTATCTAAACAATGTCAAGTAACTGCTATTTCCTTTGTTTTAATTTGTTTATTTTTTTTACTTGACATGAAATTCTTAAAAATGACTTTTGAATGTTGTGGTTTCATACTAAAGATATATAGAATATATACCAAAATGCAGTTCATGACACTTGAGATTTCAAACGTGTCAGGTGAAAAGTTGGAATTAAAGAGTTCTCTAAACAAGAAAAAGGTACTATTCTTTTTGAAAACGGACTATTTTAGGGAAAGTTAAAAAAATAAATTGAAATAGAGGGAGTAAGAGTAACTAGTTACTTCCTTTCTACTCAAGACACTTCTTTTACATTTTCAAACATACCATGCTAGTCTATTCCTAAATTACCTAAAGAAGATCCAGTAGGAGGATCATGAAGAGCAGCCAGTGCTGCTACAAGCCCAACATTACTTGCTATATTTGGCTCGGTTTACTTCTTTTGTCCGAAAAAACGTCAGGAATAGTGTTGTATGCATTCTAATTATAAGAAGGTGTAGCCTCATAAAGATACGCGAAAATTGGTACTTTTGAGGGGTACTCCTTAATAAGAACTATCACCTGTGATAGTGAGAATTGTTTTAAACTTTCCAAGGAAAAGACAGAATCAGAAACCTTCTGCTTGGTGTACGCAAAAGCTGAAGATAGTCACTATACAATTTGCTAAGAAAAGAAGATGTTGCAGCATACTGGAGTAGTGCTGCATCAGTGCTTGGCTTTAAAAGGATTAGTCCAACTGAAAATGCATCAATTTTTAATGTCTTTAAGCTATGAATAGCAAAAAATATGAACATTGAGACATCACCTGCTGTTTTGCTGTACTTTTTATCAGAAGTATACGAACACAAGAGCAAATCAATATTGTTCGTTGATGATATAAACGAAGACTCATATGGATAACCAAGATCCCGAAAGTACCTAATCCTTGTTAGCAGTATCTATATAACAGTAGTAAGTTTCAGTCTTAAGATGAAAAGCATACAACAACAAAACATTATTTCTCATCAAGATTTTGTGCCAAGTTACCGATATAGCAGTAATCTTGTTGTTCCAATCGAAGACGTCTTCATCAGAAGCTACCTGTTCCTTTACAGCTGAGGCAAAGTTTTCTGTTGCATACTTAAGGTAAGTTTTGTTTCCTGTAGCAAAAAACAACCCCAATCCAATTCATCTTTATAACTAGTTGAGTTATTAAATTGTCTAGCTTGTCCTCCACACTCATCATTCGTCGTGTACTTTCCTTTCTTTGCTCTTCTATTCGCAAGAATGAACAATTCCTCTGCTGTTTTCACCAATTCCTCTGAAATGTCCTTATCTTCTTTCAATACTAATGATGCAGCTGACATTGCTGCTACCATTTCCCCTGCTAAGTCTGAAGCAGTACTAATGTCACAAACCGAAACAAGCCTTGGGTAATTCATGTCTTCTGGCCTTTGCCAACAAGTTAGATCATTCTCAGCATTTGAATTATTCCCTCCAACCTGAAATGAGAAATCAACAAAAGATTGAAATTTTAATCCTAAAATATTAGAGAAAATGGTCCAAAACACATCCGAACTATCACTTTTTCGCGAGTTTCACACTCCAACTATCAGCGATTCCCTTTTCCTACCTGAACTATCACCATCTATGTTCTAAAATAAGCCTAGTTGAATATACGGTGACAGTTAAGGTCGGAAAAGGGAACAACTGATTTGGCCTAGTCAGCTTTGCGGTGTGTTTTAATACACATATGGGTGATAAATCAGATAGGAAAAGAGAACAATTGACAGTTGAGATGTGAAACTCATGAAAAAGTGATAGTTCATGTATGTTTTCGACGATTAACTCAAAATAGTCTTGAATTCAGATTCTTGATTAGTACCTGAGAGTAGATTCTAGCTGAAGAATTATTTGGAGGAACAAAGAGTTAAAGCAAATATAAACTACCCCAATTGATTATATCTTTAACATGATCAATTTCTCCAATATCTTCATACTTTTCATGATATTCAATCACTGTCCAGCACAAAAGACTAACAGTATAAGCTATAGTGAAACTAAACTTTATATTATTTCCAGCATCATAAAAACCACCACCAAGATCTAAATTCTTCTCATTGCTATTCCCATCATTCATCCCTGAATCCCCTCTAAACCTTATCAAACTATTCTCCATAAATCGCCCCGCTGCACGAATAAAAAAAGATCATTTAACCAACCACCAAAAAAGGAAACAGGGGAAGGAAGTCATAAACATAAAAGAAAACAGTATAAAATTGTATGCACTATACATTTCTGAGCATCAAAGAAGAGAAGAGCTTTGTTAAGAGCAAGAGTGATATTGTGGGAAGAGTCATGATGATGTTTTCTTGGATGATAAAAATGCTTAAGAAGAATAAGAGAAGGTATAATGAGGATTATCAAGGCTGATACAACGAGGAATCGCTTAAAATGGATTTTATTTTAACAAACAGGTTAAAATCAATAGATTTTGAAAATCTTGATTGTAAAGACTCGAAATTTTCATTTAAAGATGATTTAGGGAGGAGATTGAAGTCCAATTCTATCGAGTTCCAACAATTGGCAGAAGGAAGAAGGCGACCGGCCTCAGATATTGTATGAACATATTGAACAGAATTGAACTTTTCTGAGTTTGACATAGTTTGGTTTTTGTTAAGTTTATGAAAGAAAATGTTGCATTTGAAAAATGAAATGAACATGATGTTTTACATTCCCTATGTATGATGTAACTGGAAAATATATAGTTGTATATTACAACCTTAATTATGTCTTTGTATTTTTGCAGGTATTATTTTTGCAGTATTCTTTTTCTTTAATTATGTAGCGGTGGATGATTATGGTTACGAGTGTCAATTGGAGATGGTGTTGGTTGATAGTGTTGTTGTGGATAGAATGGTGATGGTTGCTGCTAGTAGTGGTTGATGGTGGAAATTGGTGTCAATAACAAATGGTTGTGGTGGATGATAATGATCATGGTGAATGGTGTCAGTGGTTTACATTATATAATGGTAACTAGTGGTGATGATTATCTGTAGTGATTGCACGTTGTGTTAATGATGGTTTTGTGGTGATAATTGTAAATGGTGGATAGTGATGGTGATAACTGATTGTAGCTATTGACAACAATGGTTGATATGAATGAGGATGATGATCATCGTGGGTTATGAATGATGATAGTTGATAACAATGTGCAATGTTCGTGATAATTGATAGTGATAAGCGATGACAATAACAGTGGATTGATGGAATTAATGAACTACCATCTCTAGAAATATTTGAATAGACATCTCAAATTAGAGTTTAAGACTTTGTTACATATTTTAATCATTAATAACCATTAAATGGTTGTAACATCAAAAAATCAAATGCACTTGATGGTTAAAATTTGAATTATTAAAAACTAGACCTAAATGATTTGATTAAAATTAAGACATTCATTAAGCGTAATCAATGAGACCTTAAACATTTATTAGATCCATTTAGGGGTTGTCAAAAAACAAATTTAATAATTAAGATTAAGATCTTAAAATCAAATGAATTTAATGATTGCAATCAAAATTATAAGATTTTTATCAACATAAATGAGACCTAAAGAGCTCTTCTTTAATTTAAATACTAAATTGCATAAACAGTACTACAAGTACTAACAATCTTTCACAAGTATAAAAGATAATTAAATGTATAAAACTTGTAGTCAAAGAGAAAAAAAAATCATAGAACATGAGTACTTTTTATGTGAAATATTAAACAAACCATGTGCTTCAAAGGTAAGCTACACATTTTTAGTAAAATAATAAAACATAACCACATACATCTTGTAAATAAGCAACATTTTGCTAGTAATAATTTCTTCTTATTTCATAAAAGGACATGTTGAAGCAACATTGCTTTCTCCTTTCACAAGTCCTCCAAGCAATTCTCCTCTATCAAAAAACATCTCTGCCTTTATAATCTTGTTACTCTCTTTATCCAACTGTTTCAACAAATTAACATTTAAATTATATATTTCACAAAATGTATATAAATTTTTTTTAAAATAAAATAAAAATAAAGAAATGTAGATGGTTTTTTGTTAATTACTTCAAATGTGCCAATTCCAAAGAGCTCAATAAGTTGTCCAGTTGGAGCATGTCCTTTAAATGGACCATCCATGTAACCCCAATGCCTAAATCTGTAAACAATTCCTGGTGGTCCTGAATAAACATGGAGGATTTCGATCGCGAATCCTCGTAAAAATATCGATCTGAAAAGATTTTGTGATGATTCAAATGTTTCATCGTCAGGATTGTAGAGTCGAACATTTTCTGGTAATGAAGTTTGTAGGAATATATTGTAGCTACCACCAAGCTTTGCAGATTCTGCTGGTGTCAAGCCCTTTCGGCCTGTAAAATTCTTTATACTGTCAGCGTAAGTTAAATTCAAAATGCATTATAGGGAGAATATGTTTTCCTAATTGGTCATGGCTTTGAAAGCAGTAATAAAGGGAAAAGGAGAAAAAGAAAAAGATTAATGTTTCATGCATGAGAATAGCATTCTTTTTTAATAAGAAATAAAGTCATAGATTTAGGGTGTTCTTGGTATTAAGGAAAATATTTTTTGGTGTTTGATAAATAAGTAGAATAGCTTTTTTCTTCATAATCTAAGAAAATAATGTGAGAAGAGTGGTGGTGGGCAGATGCGGAGTCAGGATTTCAGGCCCGTGGGTTCTAAATTTTAAAAAGAACAACGATCTTAAAAATCACAAAACACAAATTTTGTTAATGAGATGTTAATCATGTTTGAAAATATTACCTTAGATATTTTTATTGTAAAAACTTGATTTAATAATATGAAGATTTGAGTAATTTATTTTCAAGTTCTAAAATATTGTTATTAAAAAATGAATAACTTTTTAAATATAAATTTTGAACAGTTTTACTATAATTTTTCTAAGTGAGATTAAAATTATTAGATTCACCATTAATATTTTGGCACCAACATATATTTTACTAGCTTACCTTGAACCATTATTGCCTTCAAAAGTTAAAATTTCGAAAAACAAACAACAGTTATTTTAACATAATCAATTATCAATATGTGGGATAACCCTAGAATCAAAGATTAAAAATTAATTTTTGAATAGATAATTAAACAATGTAAAAGAAAACAAATAAGAAAAAAATTAAAAAAGGAGAGGCGAGAGTACATAGTACATACCGGAGGACAAAGGTCGGATGGTAGCAGTCACAATAACAATAAAAGTCAGAACCGTAACTTTTAAAAATAAATTTGGGTCAAAGTTTTTTTGAACCTCTGAGTAGATATCAATGGTTAGATATTGTTTTAGAGTATGACACAAACACTGTTTTTCTATTTATTTTCATTTACTGATTTTCTATTTTTTTTAAAAAAAATAAATAAATAAATATGTAAACCTACTTATGTTATTATCTTTAGGTTAGAAATTAATTCCAAAAACACTTTTTTCATTTACCATTCTGTTTTTTTTTGTTTTTTTTTATATAAACCTACGTTTGTTTTCATTTACCGATTTTTTTAAAAAATAAATATATAAACCTACTTATGTTATTATCTTTAAGGTTAGAATTAATTTCAAAAACACTTTTTTCATTTACCATTCTGTTTTTTTAATTTTTTTTTATTATATAAACCTATGTATGTCTTTATACGTGGTATGTTAGAAAATAATTCCAAAAATACAGTGACTGGGTGCACAAAAATCACTGGGCTACACACCTCACTATGCTTGTGGGTTCGAGTAAATTTATATGTACTTTATATTTGATATTTTAATACGAATACTAGATCTACAGAAAAGTCAATGGGTTCGCCCGAACCCCCTTCTGCTACAGTAGCTCCGCCCCTGGTGGTGGGGTGGGCTATGCTGGAAATAGGTAGGAGACAAATAAGTGTGGAATGTCAGTGCGAAGCTAGAAGTCCGATTATAGATTCGATAGAACTTAGTAACTTTTACTCAATTAGAATAGTTTATACTTGTATCAAGAAATTTATTAAAAGTATATAAATATTAGATTCAAAATTTAGTTATAGCCACTTACAAAAGATTATTTAAATATATACAATATTATATTCCCACGTGGACATGGACCATCCAACTCAAATGAATTGGTGATTCACGTGTTGTGTTTGTCTATTCAAGAAAAATAAAATGGAAGACTTCTTTACTCGTCATTCTCAGATTCAGAATCCTTAAAAAAAAATCGCTCTACCTCTAATTGTACTTATGAAACTTCTTTTCTAAACTCATTTTCCTCATCTTTTTAAGAAAAAAATATCCCGAGAAAATGATTTTCCAAAAATTTACCAAACATGAAAAAATTGTAACAATATATTTTTCTTTGTACCAAATATACCCTTAGGAAAGAGTAAAGAGAAATTGTGAGAGATGTGTACCATTGATACTAATTGTAAACTTGTTTGGATCCATAGTTTTGAGCTCATTTGGATCTGCCTTATGGACTATTTCCATTTCCCAAGTCTTCAATAGCCTTTGCACTTCCTCTTCAACTGATCCTTCAGCCCATACCTAAACATTTAAAACAGTAAATCCACTCTATATTATAATGTTAAAAATTCTAAATTTTGGTACTAATAATTGATCTGATTTTTCTTTAAATAGGGTAAAACAAAGCACATGAAGTAATTAATAAGGTTCGTAATTGTGGAACTGCTTCACTCATAATCAAAGGTTTCGTGTCCAAACTCTGGACATGGAAAAAAAATCATTCAGGCCCTGCAGTGGGCAATCAGGATTTTGTCGGAGCTCTAGGCTCCGAACACCGAGTGGAAAACCAGGAAAAAAAAAAGATGTCTAAAAAAAGAAGAAGAGAACATACATTAGTTCTTTCTTGTTCAAAGAGCTTATCAACAACATCATAACTAGGAGGACCATTTCTCCATTTGGTGTTTTTGAGCTCTTCATCACTCAAGTAATCTCTGAATTTATTTCCCCCTCCTACTATTGAACTTGCCATTTTGATTAATTTGATGATAACTAAATGAAGCCTTCAAAGGAGCTTTTATAGATCAGAAACCTAACGGTAATACTAATTATCACATCTTAGACTTTGACTAAAATAATAGAGGCAAAATTAAAATTTTAATTTTATGAATTCTGAATTATTAGAACGGTGGTTTTAACCTTTAAGTGCTAAAAATTGGGTTTTAGATTTAATTTAATACGTATACACATTGTAATGAATTATTTAACGTAAATATATTATTTGAACAAAATTTACTGAGTTCAACTGAATCTGTAATTTGCTTCTACCAAAGCCGCCCATGCTTGGCTTTAAGGTAGTCAAATAGAAAAACATATTTTATGGAAGTGTCGTGGAAATAACATGTACTGAAATTCAAAATAGGATATTTTATTGACTATTCCATCGTTGATGTTTTAACATATATCTAAGTTTTTAGGAGATGTCTTCTTACAATGAAACTCCATATAATATCTAAGTTTAGGAGTTTCTAGGAATTACATCAAATCAACCATTTAATCTCAAAAGTTAGGGATCAAAGAGAGGCTAGTAATTACCTACACTACTAAAAAATCACTATTTCTCTACTAAAAATTTTCCACTAAAAAATGATTAATGGTAATTTTTCACAAATATTTTAATTGAATCGGTTATAATTGAAAAATAGTACTCTCTCCATCCCATTTTATGTGAGGTAGTTTGATTCGCCACGAAATTTAAGAAAGAAAGAAAGACTTTTAAAACTTGTGGTCCAAAATGAATGATAGAAATTTGTGTGGCTGTAAATCATTTCATTAATGGTAAAATAGACATTTTATAGTTAAATTGTTACTTAATATAAAAATATGTCATTCCTTTTGGGATTGACTAAAGAGGGAGTGTTTTAATGCGCAAAAATTAGAAAGATTCTTAATATTTTTGTGAGAATCTATTTTCCATCATGCGTTTTACCAGTGAGCTGGTTCAGTAAAAAATGAATGCAAAAATCATGTTTTATAGCAAAAATTTCATACGAAATCGCGGTTATTTTCTTTTATATTTCTAATAGTTGTTGATGCGGGAAAAAAATCATATGCAAAATATTTTTATTTTTTTTTCATGTTTGAGCAGTTCAACCACCCATTTCATAGAAGAGCAAGTGAGACAAGCTCCAATAATTTTGGTTAAAATAAACGTCATTGGTAATCCAAAAATATTTGAATAAAGAAAGGTTCATTGAACCTAGCTTTGAAATTGGGATAATCCAATCTAGCCCTGAAGTATGTCTGCACGTATTTTGATAAATGTTCCATTTTTAATTTATTTTAATCTCCATTTATTTGGATTGAATATACTAGGGTATTGTAACATATTCATGTATTAATTTCTATATAAGTTATTTAACGTTTGGTAATTAATTAGAAAATAAATAATTTATGTATAAATTCATACGATGTTTGATTTGATGATATCACGATTCAAAAATGGATGTTATGACACTCGTCTCATCCCACCATGACAAGTCAGTCTAAAACCCAAACAATACGATGGAAATGCGAAAGATAAACTATCAATAGCATAAATGCGGATAACTTAGTCAATCTTATAAATACCCTTAAAATCTGGTTGTCACGTGTATAAGCCACTAATGTATTACAACTGAATTGAAAGAAATACAAGTCTCAATGTCTTTGTTTCTAGAGAAAGAACAAGAACATAAATAAGGAACAAGAAGGTCTACAGAGGTGACAAGCAACTACCTCTCAAGTCTCCACAGAAAAGCCTCGAACGAAGTAGAGAAGAAGACTGATCATGCAGATCCAAGCTCGTAACCTACACAAGTGTAGAAGCTAGATGTGAGTACAAACCAATACAGTACTCAACAAGCGAACCACTAAACACAAGGTAAAGCAAATAGAATACGAGTACTCCATTCATCCCAATCGAACCTCCACAAATTATAACATACATGCACAGAGATGAGTCCAACCTAAAAGTTCACAATTGCAAGTAATACATAGTTAAATACCAACGCCTCAACAATTACAGATCAACCACAATATCAAGTTCATCAATCAAAGTTTCCAACCGTTCCCACTCCTCATAACAAAGCATATAAAGAATAACTCAAGTCGCATCTCAACACAAATAGTCTATCATCACAGTATTCCACAATCAAAAGTCTTGACAACATAGAATCAATAATTATAATCCATAAGTGCGATGAAATGATGCGCAATGTCATATAGAGTGATGCATGTACGTCCTACGATACACATCCGATGAATTTCAGACCGGAACCCATTGGAAACACACAAGGTCCATATACTTTCCGAAACAAAACCTTGACATTAATATCACTCGCTAGAACAATTTTCCATCGTTATCACTATCACCCGCCGAAATAATTTTCCATCAGCATAATCACAATAGATCTCATCACAGTGTTTCAGAGCTAATGCATTTAGGCATGTTCACACCATAATGAAGAAATGACAATTCCATAGCAATTTACAATCACAACAATACAATCATAGTGTTTCTCAATTAACGGACCAATATTACCACTCAAGTCATTCATCATATACCACACAACAATTACCAACAAATTGCATTTTTCATTATTCCCCTTATTATCATTAAGATTAATTGATATGAACAATTCAACTCATCATTAATTCTCATTACTCTCCAACACATACAACAAGGAAAATAAGAGATTCTACTAGCTTTAATAAAGATCTAATATTTCACTTGCCTTGACTACTAAATACTCACTCCGACACTAGAACTTTTTTTTCCCGAATGGTATCCGAATCAACACAATCTATTCAAGCAAGCATTCACAATAAGATTTCGAAATTTACAACACCTATATCAAGCAATTTAGAAAACAAGGTCAAATCGACCCAAAAAATTGATTCCGAAATTAAAGGTTAAACTTAATCACGAATGCAACCCCCGGACAAGATGACATTTTGCGAACGCAATGAGTCTATCGCGAACGCGAAGGTTGCCAAAGTGAGCCGACCTTCACTAACTCAAGGGTCGGAAATCTTGACCCCTCGCAAATGCGTGTTGGATTTTGAAGGTGATTAGGGCGTCATGCTGAAACTTACAATTGCAAATCATATGACGATAAATCAGATGACAAATAAAAGTATACTAAAAACATATTATTTATATAGTTTGGTCAAACGACCTACATATTATAAAACTAATATAATATTGGGAAAAAAAACGTAAATATGTTTAGGAGAAAATCTCCCCATAAACAAGACTTTAAATGATTACATTGTGGATTCTATTGTGTTCTTTGATATGAGAAGAGGGGTTTACAATATATAGATCTCCTAACTTTTCATCTAAGGAAAGAGTAAACCAAATATGGAGAAAAATATATTTTCCTTTCATGAAAAGTAAAAACACTTATGGTAATGTTTTGTCTTTTCTTTTAGGAAAAAATAAACTTCAAATAAGGTAAGAAAATTCGGGGAAAACCCTAACAATGCGATCAGATCTTCGCTAACGTGAAGGTCGCAAGAGAGGTCAACCCTTCGCGAATGCCAGGCACAACAGATATCAAACATCAGAAAATCAGCCAACACACAAGTTTTCGAATGGACCCTCAAAATTCGTTCGAAACCCCATACACACAAACCAATCCAACTGAAATTGACATTCCGACACAATGAAATCATCAAAACAAGAATTTGAGGTTTTCCTGATCCGAAACCCATAAAAGTCTCAATAAACTAATATAATGCCTAAAAAGACCAAACTAAGCTCGGAACCTCAGAAAATTCAATCAAGACCTTCCCTACGCCTAAAATAATCCCCCTAATCCTACGAGACTGACAAAAATTCGATCCGAGCATCCGAACCTCGAATATTGACGAAATCAACCCAAAGACTAAAATCTCATCAACTTCCAACTTAAGACCTCAAATCCACGAAATCACTCAAAATCTGAAACCAACTACTCTCCTAGACCAAATTCTGCATTCCAGAGTAGATGGAACTAACAGAAATCATTCTGAGATTCGAAACTCCGATTGACTCCAGAAACCACTTTTAACAACTTTAAGACTACCAAAACAAAAATCTTCTAAGAATCTCAACTTTTTACTGAACTTTCAAAATCAACTTTACAAACCAATCAAAAAAGACTCAGAGCAACTATCAAAAAGGATAAAATCATAATTTTACGAAAAATTCTAAAAGTAACCTTCCGGATCATTACATATGAATTACGCTTTCTATTTAAAGTTGTGTGCATCCTCGTTTCAGATTGCTTGGAGGAGAATTATTCCGTCAAATATGTTCTAAAAATATAAGATATACATGTTGGTATTTTAAAACAGAACATATGAAGTAATAACTAAAGCTGTAAATATGTATGGGAAAAGGTATTAGGGTTGTCGATCCTTAATTTGAATAATGCAATTGGATATATATATATATATATATATATTAAAGTATGCAAGTTTGAATAGTCTTGGGTTATGAAATAGGTGGGAGTTAATTTATGTATTATAGTATATTTTACAACTAAAGTAGTGAAGTTAATCTTATTTCAAATGCAATAGTGAGGTTCAAAGTTAGTAAGATGGTCAAATCATTAGAAACTTCACGCTAATCTAAACTTTTCTTTCTTCGTTTCTTTTGTTGTACAATTGAATTTTAAACACAAGAATAAATGAAATGATGAAAAGTGTTACCAATAATTATTTTTTATAATTATAGTAATTTTGAATTGTATAAATAATCTTAATTAAAGAAGACATTCTTTGACTCTTTCAAAACATAATGGATTTCTTTTTTGGTTTCTCGTTTTCGGTATTCGTATTGGATTGAGTCCTGACTAAATTGAAATTCACGCTGAAAAGTCTTATATTGGGGGTAAAATGCTTCTTAACATAATTTTTTTTTTTAAAAAATGCTCCCTAACAAAGGTGACTTCATAACCAAGGGAACTTGAACCCAAGAGTTTTGATTAAGGATGAAGAAATACTTATCACTCACTATAGCAAAAACAACATTC